CCCCTCTTCCTCCCCCCCCCCCAAATGACTTAAACACTCGATCACAGTGATCGGAGGAACCTGATTGGCTTATCTGTGATTTTGTCTTTGACATATATCGCAGTTTCTATGCTGCAACCACACCATACTTAGCAAATAAATTGGCAATAGAAAGTTTTTTCAACACGTATATATCGGTTAGATGTAGATTGATCTTTTGGGTTTTAAAAAAGGTAATTATAGATGTGTGGATTTGATGAGTCGATTTGTTATTTTTTACTACTGATGTTGTTGGGGTTGGGATTATGTTGGTGAGGAGGGATGCTGCTGGGGTGGTGATTTGGATTGTTGTTTCTGCGTAGCTGTGTGTGTTCTATCTACTCTAGTCTACTCCGCAGTAAAAAACATACTAGACATCCATCTCCACAGAGTAAAAAACCATACCCCATACCCAACAACAACTCAGTACTCCGTATTAACTAAGTAACTAAGTAAGTAACTACTACTAGTACCCATCCAGCAAACAATACCCATCCATCCATCCACAATCCACAATGCCACAAATACATACATATGGTCCGCAAAGCAAAGCAGAGGCAAAAGGCAACGAACGACAGAAACCTAAAACCTTAAACTATATACATTAGTATGTACAATCTAGACCCAATTTCATTGAGTATGCCCCCCCCGCCTCCCTTCAGCCCAGAAAAATCATCACTTAAGTTACTTACTACAGCCTGTCGTCTATCATCAATCCTTCCATCCCCATTTATCCAATCAATCAGTCAGCCAACCAGAAATCTCCGCATAGTGAGGCTCGATTTGAAAAGCAATTTTCATTTCATTTCCTCTCTCGGTTAGAAAGGTTAGTCCAGGATGGTATAGGGGGAGGGGGGAGAAGGGTTAGTTTAGTCTGTTCCGTGTAATGGTTATGTGAGTGTGTGTATGTAATGCGGTATGCAAAAATGGAACTGTGTATGTAGTATTTGATGTTGATGTTGGTATTTGATTTGATTTGATTTGATTGGGGTTTCAGGATTTATGGGGATATTGGTGGTTGTGGTGATAGTCGGATTCTTTCTCCGAGATAACTTTTTTCTATACTGTGTGATTCACAATTGGGTATTTGTGTTGCTGTGGGTTGGTAGTTAAGTTCTCTCTGTGTGATGTGATATCTATACTTGTGCTCTGTTTATGTTGTTTTCTACAGTAAGATGGAATATGTGTATACAGGTATGTATAATATGTGGTAAGCATCAAGTAGCATTGCATGGATTCACATCCCAGACAATACACGAAAACTAACTATTTAGTCAGTTGAAGTGTGCGTGGCATGACACACACACGGGTACCGTTTAGCACTTAGCTTCACTTCAATCCCAAGTAACTGTCCAAAGGATCATTCCAGGTTGTGTCGTCTCTAAAGCTGAATCTTGTCTAGCCCAGACACATGGTTGCTGATCAGGGGGTTGATGGAGGGGGAAGGGGGGAAGCGGATACGACACACAGGGCAAGAGCGTACTTTTGAGTCCGACACCTACCACCCTACCCAAGTTAAGTAAATGGTGGCCCCCGGGATGGACAGTAGTGTGCAAGCCGGGAGAAATACGAAGCACTCTTTTTACCAATGAGAGCGGATGGAAAGGTACCTTTGAAGCGACTGACTGACTGACTGACTGACTGTCACCTTCCTACTTCTTCTTAGTAGGCAGCTATCTAGTTAGTTCACCTGGGGGCTGTTTTGCTCAGCCCCTGAATTTCTTTTCTAATCTCCAGATAGGCCCGACGGACATGGCATGGGCCGTGATGGCTACCTAACTAATGTATCTATATTAATCCTTTCTGCCTTCGTGCGGGACTAGACCGGGGTGGGTAGTAGTTGGGACCCGTCAAAGGTCTCACTTACTCTCTCGCTCACTCACCCATTAATCGAGTCGTTTAGTCTAATCATGTGTGCATCGTGGGTAGTAGTCTAGCTGTGTGTATGTAGTATAGACTAGGTGCTTCCCGTTAGCCATTTCTCTTCCCTAGCTGGTATCGAGTCAGACAGCGGGATCTAAAGACTCGGATCGTCCTGTCGTCCGGGGGTCGCGCTTTGTCCAGATGCTGATCCTCGCAAATTTGACATCTCCGCCATGCGTCGTGGCTATTGGTTCCCCTCATCCTGGGCACGGTGAGCATTGGAGATGCCATGGCTTGCTTTATCTCGTTTGCTTCCCAAGGCAGACTTCCTTTTCCAGCCCGTTGCTGCCGTCAAAGAAATGATGGAAAAGAGGCGGAAAAAGAAAAGGGAAGAAAGAAAGAAAGAAAGACTCCAACTGCCACCTACTAGTGAGTATGTGAGTATGGATAGCGTCGTTACTCCAAAACGTCACATGCGCAGTCTTTGCGATCGCAACCTGAGCGACGACGGCAATGATAATAATCGGGACGGTCATTGCGGGACTGCAACGATGCCAGTGCATATGACATGAGTCTTCATCATTGATCATTGTCCTCAACAATCGCATGTATATGCGCATGTACGTCAGAACGGACTACTCCGTTCACATACATAGAATGTAGGTACGATCTTCTCCACTCCCTTCCTTGTTAGCAATCGCGCGCCGTGCCGGACTTGCTCGGCGCGACGCGCTGTGATCGCAAAAAAGGAGGTTGTGGAGGTTCCAGACCGGTGGGAATGTGATGAGTCCAGTGGCGGCTAGGGTGGGAAAAAGTAAAAAAATGGCAGACTGGGAAAAAGAAAACCGCGCGCGCGCTTCGGTTGACTTGCATTGGTAGGCCGTCGTCGCGTGCTAATCCTAGCACCGATTTGACACCTGTAGCGATCGACTCGGTTGCGCGCCCATGTCAGTCAAAGCCATGTCCACGGAGAAAGGTTGGTGACAGGTGCTTGATGGCGTTGCAAAGGTGAGAAACCCATCCAATGGGTTCGGGTGTTTCTCCGGCAGGTTTCCAGATTGCGACGGGGACATCCCCCGCAAAAGAGCTGCTGCTGTCATACCCTCTCGACACCCGTCTGTGGAAACATGTCAAACAGCTTCCCGAACGCGGCCCGTCCAGCAGCAAAAATGGTCTTTCGTATTACTCGTGAGGCTGACTGGAGGATAGTCACCGAAAAGGCTGGGCGAAACCGTCCTACCGTTTACACACAGACCACGGATTGACACTATTGGTGCCCGAATGGTGAATGGTCACTTGCCCAGGTGTCTGTGCTGTGTGCATGTGTTAGGGATTGGCAGTCTAGTCGATATGGAGTAGCCTGTTCCAACCGAGTACCTGTGTAGTGGGTGTGTCGTAGTCTGGAGATGGGCGGGAAATCAAGGAACAGAAGCAGTTCTGGTGGAGGACGGCTCTCCTCGCTTTGCCTCCAAGGGAGATTGCTCATCGCACTTTTCTTTGAGGACGACCTAGAGGGCACCACGATGTCTTTGTTTTGGGTCTGGGATTAGAGCGAGTTAGCACCTCCTGAGCAGGGAGTAGGGAGCAGGAATGACTACTTACCCACTAGTAATCAGCAGGTAAGCTCATCGGCAGAACCGGGCACGCCGGGAACTCTCCACTCGAGCAGCAGGGAAAAATAATCACTAAAGGGAAAATCAAAATAAGGAAAAACCTGCACATCCCCTTTTGGTTAGTGTCATATGCAGGCATTCCCTCAGCAGATTTCTTACCTGCAGAAATGGATATCGTATGGATCACTACAGGAGATAGATACTAGCCAGTATCTAATCAGGTAGTAGTACTGTAGTAAGAGTTAAGAATTTGATAGTGGAACTCTGTCATTAGAAATAATCATTCCTTTGAATATATCCGGATCATATGCGACCTCCCCATCTTTCATACAACACTCTCAGGTTGACCTCGTGTAAGACGTGGTATTCTTGGGCGTCACGTAATCCTAGCTAGGGATTGATTACCACATAAAAAAGTTATGATACCAGCTGGCTGGCAAGGCACATTATTGAGACCGTCGCTGTGGCACCGAACTCGTAGTACGACCCATCCCTATTACTGCACAAAACGGGTGCACTGCGCATGCACGCAGTAAGATTTGGAGATCGGTTCCTGGATTCCTCACTGCGCAAGAGGCTACCTCTATCCCTCCATAGGTAGGTAGAGCGCTCTCTACCTAAACCCCCTCGCTTACCCCGATTCGAGCGATCGTTTAGTCTTGTAGTACAGTAGCTCGACCGATCGCCCCTCGATAAGGTTGGTATGTTAGAGGGTTAGTCGAAAAGCCTGGGGTTCGGAGTCTGGAGTACGGAGCAGCATGAGACAAATCGCAAATCGCATAAAGGAGGGGGCAAAAGATATGGGACAGGTCATTATGTGGTCGGGAGAAGCATCATTTTGCCACTCGATTGCTCTCACAGCGGAATTTGGAGTGGGTTACTTACTCCTACTACTTTTACTAGTTCACTACCGATAGAAAGGGAAGCTTCCCAGGAGGTGAGGCCCACGTGGTCCATTGTGTACAGTTTACGTATGTTGTTCTTTCTTGGTAGGAACTGGGATAATATACTGCTTGGTAGCTGGCTAATAGGAAAGGCATATACATCTGATGTTTAGTAACTACTTAGTATGTATGTCGACAACAAATAAACCTCGCAATACTTCTACCGAGTATTCAATCTCCAAACTAACAATCACCCACGCAAAGCTACAATTCCCAAGCAGCATCCTTCCTCTCTTGAGTCCTGCGATGAGATTGATACGATAAGCAGCCTCATTGCGACATGCCGTAGACGAATGGATCAGCGCAATAACGAGGCTTTAGCTTCCCTTAGACTAGACAATCTCAAATAATTCTCCCTTGGATCGGCATATCATCCATATCCACTATAATGCCCTCCAAAGGAAGAGCACTGCCACATCCAGTAGTCATCTCCGTGATCCATTCCCCAGCTCGACAGACTAAAGATGCTGATTTGGTTTTTCTTCATGGAGTCCTTGAGATATGACTTGGCTGCCTTCCAGATGTCATTTGTAAATCTATATTCGATGATCGAAGCATGTTGATCAAATTGATATCGCGCGGTTGCGACATACTCCACCACCACCGCTACCACCATCTCCTCCTCCACCTCCACCTCCTCCTCCACGGTGGCCACTCTTTCAGATGGATAGCTTTTATGAACTTTAACAAACCAATATTACGCCAAGGAATCCCAGCCTCACTTTTTTTTCATTTTTCTTTCTCTAGCGATCCTACCGCCCAGTAGAATTATGATCCGCTCCGAACCACCCTCTCGGAGTCACAAGGCGGGCAGTCCCGCTGTCACCTTTTTTTCTCATAACGAGAATTGGTGGGTGTGTATGTGTATGTGTATGTATGTCCTGGACAACTGAGGGGTTAGAATCCCCATCGATTGGTTCTCCCGTATACGGGCGATAAGTTCACATAGTAAGTAGTTATCGGACGGTCTGACCAGGCCGGCCGGCCCAAACTCCCTTCCCTTCCCCCTCCTCTCCCCATAAGGCATTTGGTTTGGCACATCTCATGACCTTGCGAGAAAAGAGTCAGGAGTCAGAATACCTAGCCGGTCTAGTGAGGGGTAGGGGGAGCTTGATGGTCCTTGCTGGGACAAATGATAGGCCTGAGACATGGAATTGATCTGCAATTTGGGTCCGGCGAAGATTTACCTGTAATCGGTCTAAAGAATGGCGCCCGGACCTCGTGATGACCGCATCCCATTCCATCTTCCTATTTGCTGGTCGCCTTTTCCACACACGCACACAGACACACAGACACACAACAATCCTCAAGTCTGAGTGGGTTAAGGGTAGCTAGGTAGCTACATATTAGCTAGCTAGGCAGAATCTTCAGCCAACGCCAACGCCAACTTTGCCTGCCTGCCTGCCGACCACCGCGGACGGTACGGAGAACCCCGTCCTGGCATGTGTTTGCATAAGTTAGGTGGTAAGTAGTAGACCCGGAGTTTCGGCAGTCAAGTTTACTGAATATGGTGCTTGCGCCGCCGGAGTTTTCTGCTGTCAAGGAAATCCCGCGGGTTACAGACGAGGTTGCGATTGTGTTGGGGATCGGACTCTCCTTGTGTTGCTTGCTGTTGGGTACGTAGACTCCAAGTTTTTTTTTATTAATTTATTTTTTCGATTAGATGGATCCCAGGTCAGACGATTGAATACGTTGTAAAATAGGTCTGGCAAATTCCAATCTTGAGATGGCGCTTACTATCTACCTACTGTACCTATTTACCTACCTGTTTGCTACTAATACTAGTAGGTTGTTCGCAGAACAAATCCCGGGGATTCATATCAGGTTAGCACAACAGCAGCATCAGCCATGGGCACTATTACTAGCACTAGGATCTTTCTTTTCTTCCATCTGTGGTTTATTCGCCCCCTCTGCTCCCCAATTTGATGGCTAGTTCCCAATAGCCACAGTGTGTCTCTACCCGTGTAACCCCAGTACAAAACGTCGAGCTATCTGTACGTAAAGGACAGGGCTATCCCTTGCTTCCGGCACCTGATCATTCCAATACTAGTTTGAGGCAGAGAAGAGAGAGAGAGAGAGAGTCAAGAAGTAGGCCTCCTCCTTCTCCTCCTCTCCGGCCCTACTTGCCGCATAGGTGTAGTACCGGCGCACAGTATGCACATCATTCGCTACTAACTTTGCCAGTCGACCCAGCCTTGCAGAATCTCCATCTAAAAGGGAAAACCTGAACGGAAAGAAAATCGTGCGACTTCATTCTTAGAGTAGTCCATGCATACGATAAGTCGGTAGTGAATTGGCGGGTTTGTTAAGTATTGTTGAAGTTGATTATTCTTACTGTGGGATGGATGGAGGCGGGCGCCATTGCACTTTTTTTTTTCTTTTTTTTTTTTTAATAAATAATATTTTTCCTCTTGTCTTAAGAACTGCTGAACTCTCAAAGACAGACCCAACATGCCGCCAGCCGATGGTGGGTTCCAGGAGACGGGATCATGGAATGTCACTAAAAAGGCGGATCGACCGAATGGGGGGACAAGCTGGTAACTTCGTTGGCTCTCCGAAGCCAGAAATGGGTCACCTGTGGAGGGGCAGGCAATTGGCGGTAATGAATAAGGCATGGCTTGACTCCGAGTTTGAACTTTGAAGGTACGGAAGATTCCGTATCTGAGGGCGAGACGGTGAACGTCGGATCTTTGGGCGGGTGTGAATCTGGTGGTGATTTCGGTTTTTGTTATGGTTGGGTGCTGATGGGTCATCGCGTCAGTTGGGTTTTTGTTCATTCTAGGATGCGAACAAAGACGCGGTAGACATGGTCCTCTGCGGTGACGAGTTTGAGTAGAATAATAATGTGTCGGAGTTGCGGTTAGTTGGAAAGTCGAGAGATCCATCAGGATCATGCCCCTCCATTTTCCCGAGACCGAGATTATTCCAGCCGAAATAATAGGGACGGTTTAAGGCCACGACGGTGTGTTGATATTACCCCACTAACGAAGGTGAAGGTGATCGGGCTGCTGTGCTTGCGAGCCCAGTCACTCGGTCGTCTTACAGTCTTGCAGTGTGGCAGCAGTAAGCAAGACTGTAGACAGTAGATACATTTAGCCTAATCAGTTCACAGCTCTTTGACCCTTTTTGTTTCTTTTGTTTCCACTCTCATGTTCTTGTTGATTTGGCTGGTTCGAGCGGTAATGTACCAGTCAATGCTTTCAGATTCAGAGGCTCAAGCTGGTGAGTTTACTAGTAACCGCGTCACAATACGAGGCAGGTAACTATACGACGCGACCAAATGGTGGCAAACCGGGTACTCCGATGCTGCGTCATGAGATCTACCCCTTATACATATCTGCGCACTCCCTTTAGATGGTAGACTACTTTAGTAGTATAACAGGCTAGCTTGGTCAGTCCTTTGTGTTAGGCTGCTAGCATTCATGTTTTGAACTCGCGCTAATGATGGGGTTTATTGAAGATTGGCATGGGAAAGAAAGCTGTTAGGCGTTTTTGAGAATAGGTCGGCCGAACACGTCCCATGGCAGAAAAGATTTGTTTTGGCCGAATGTAATCCGAATGACAAGCTTGCGACCAGAAAGCCAAACAACTAAAAGTCAAAAAAGGAGGGAAACCCAAGGTTCTCTTCCGTAAGTTACCGTTCTTCGGGCCACCGCGGATAAGTCAGCGGCTGTCCCTGAGGTGAACCATGATTAGTCGCAGATGAAGACCCAGGGAACAATTGCCGTTTTGCTTTTTTAGGCTGTGGGGTGGGAAAGAAAAGGTAAACAACCAAGATGATAACACGTAGTAAGGGTAGGTATTTTACCTGTACTCCGTACTCCGTCCTACCCCGTAGCAGCAACCAGCAAATGTATGTATCATGTATGTGCGCAACCATGTATGCAAGTTGGTGACAGGGGCCTCCCTGGGTGATGATCTAATCGTCCAGCTGCTCCGGCTTTTAGCGGGCGGGCGGGTAGAAACTCGAACGGTGGCTCGTCCTTCAGAGAGAGAGACATGGCACTGGTCTAGCTATGATCATGACAGGTATAGAACCCAGAAGTGGCTAGTAGGTGAGGTGATTAATCTACACCACTGTTTGAGAGGGTGTCGAATTGCATCCAGCTCTAAGTAGGTTAATTTATAATAAAAAGAAGAACGAGTTCTGCCTTGGAACCTGTTGAATGCTCTCCTCGCCTCGGGAATTTCTAGGACCAGCGTGTCCCGATATATTCCTTCTCCGCCTTTAAGAAGCGCCCATCAGCTCCTTAATCCATGCAGAACTCTATTGAGTCCGTCTTGTGCATATCTGAGCGCACAGCATTGGCGTAGCAAGTCAAACCCTTGATTCCAATGACCAAGTGACACCCGAGCAAGGTGGAGGGTGCTCACCGTCTTCTGCTCCTGCGTGGGGCACCCTAGTAGTCGTTCAGGTCTCCCTTTTCCCCCCTCCCTCCTGGGTCGCATCATGCATACCTCACTCCCGTTTGGCTTCATACTCCGAGTCAGGGCCCATTTGTCCTGCGCGCTTCTGCCCTTTCTGATCATCTTCATCTGCCATCATCCAGGTAAACAATAATGCTTGGCTTTTCATCGTCGTAGCATACCGTCCAGGGCACTCCTGTCGGACACCGTTGCAGGGACAAAATTGACTTCTAGATCTGAGTCCGTCCCCGTGGGTGAAGATAGGGGAATGATGGGACACACCCCTTGCCAATAATCAGGTGAATTAAGCCGAATCACAGGAGTAAGAAGAGGATGGGCACCAACAGACCGAAAGAATGAAGCCGAGAGGCTGTGAGTGTTGACAGCAAGCATGTCTCGAGTGTGTACACAAGTAAACTTCCGTGCTACCGCCTGGTTAAGTCATCCATCTAATCAGCCCTTGGGAGGGATAACTGAATTCCTTCCCCATCTGCTGTGGCTGGTTTGTCTGATTGTCGATTTCACTCTTGGTTTCAGTTTTGTCTTTCCGGAGTCCTATGAGTCGCCAGGAGTGTCCCATCGACTTACCGGCTGTGTGATAGGACAAGAGGACGACCTAACCTACGTATTTACTGTCGCCTCTCAGGCTCTTCCTTCCCCTCAGGCGGAAACATATAATCGGTTTCCCCTCAATTCACACCATCATCATCACCACTCAGATTGATTGACCTCCTCCCTTTTGGCCACGGGAGTTACTACCTACCCCTCGAAGTATTGGGCACCGATCATTTCACAATCAGCTCACCCATCTTTAAGTCTTTCCCCGAGGAAAGACCGTTCCCAATCGGCCCCGTACACCATTGACTACTACTACTATTACTACTTGTAATCCACCGCCAACGGAGAGCGGTTGACGTTGGGTGTGTGTGTTTGAGCGCCTTTCCTTAATTATTTCTCCAGTCCACCCATCCATGTGGCACTGAGGAAGACCGGAGCTGATTGCGGGCCCCCAACAGATCGAGAAACCGACGGTACCCAGTCAGTTCCTTCAGTCTTCCAAGACTGCACCACAGCTGGTTGTAAGTGGGTTCTCATTTCTTCTTTATTTTGCGAATCTCATTTTAGCCCGTCCTGGTTCAGCTCCAGTTTGCGGCTCCACTTTCTGCCCTTTTTGTTTTCTGGTCTGTCACCAGCAGTCAGAGGCCGAAACTGAGATATTGAAGAAAGCAAAGAGGAGAAAAAAAATGTGAGAAGAAAAAGAAAAAGAAATTCAAGCTAAAAAAAAAAAAGGAAAATGAAGGGATATTCTTACTACTCTTTTCCCTTTTTGTCTTTTGCTTGTCCTTTTGATTTTCGCTTCCCTTGTTTTTCTTTTTTACTCTTTTAAGGAGGAGTAAAAAAGAAAAAGAAGGAAAAAGAAAAAGCAGGACTGCCCAGACGAATTAGAAAGGCGATCTGTCAATTCAGGTGGCTTGTGTTAATTCATGCAAACCAGGATCCTGGTTCAGGGTTACAAGACCCAGTCCCCTCAGAAGGCGTGCACCCAAAAGAAAAATTGAAATAAAAAGAAAATAAAGGAAACTCAGAGGAAAGCAAAAGCGAAACATCAGAAGAGAGGAGGAGATCAAAGCAACGAAAACGCGGATCGAACAGCAGTTCTTCACCTGGACAGTTCGCTGGAGACATCTGAGATTGTGAGGTGCACATTTTTCAACTATCATCAGCATTTTCATTCCCAAAATCTGTAAGGAATTGCAGAAGCAGAAAATCGCCCATATTCCCTAGCTACTACTGCTATTGCTTTACGCGCACCGGCTCTTCTATGGGCCCAATAAACCCCCTCCCTCCACCAGGAAAGAAGGGAAAAAGAGAGGGGCAAGCAGACCTCTTCATCGGCCACACTGTTCAAGGCCTATCAGCCTCTGCTAGGTTGGCCGTTTGCTTGATAGTTCATTTTCCTTGTCATTTGCGTTTCCATTGACTATTAGTTATTTTATCCTCCCATCTCTCCTCCTCTTTCTTGCTCATAACCCCCTAACTAACCTTCTCATCATTTTGGTGTTTCCGCAAGACTCGATTCCGCCTTTTACCCATCAGATCCATCCATCAATCCACTCCTGCCGACCTACCACTTACTACTCCCGGTAGTAGTGCCCTCCGGACAGACTCTGATCAAGTTAACTTTTCTCTCCTCCCAGAGTGACCGGACGGGAAGTCTTGTTTGGTCAACCTGCTAATTCTAGTTTAATCCCGTTCGAGGATCCATCGACTTTCCTTCCAGACGTCCGGCCGTCTTTTAGGGAACCCCTCCGAATCCCTCGACCCTTTTTTTATTTATTCTTTTTTTTTTTTCCCTGTCTTTTCTTTTTTTTCTTCTTATTAAGGAAAAAAGACACCCGCCAACAAAGCTCTACTACGACGCTTCCCACCGTTCGATCGACCTGTTTTTGCACCGGGCGACCCGACAGCTTGGCTTAGCTACCTTAGCTAAGGAATACTACCTACTATCTAATTACCTCCCCCATCACCGCACCCGACCTATACTACTACTACTTGCTTCCTTCCACTTGATCGGAAAGCGCCAGCACCAGTGCTAAAACCCGCCCGGTGGTATAATCATCACTATTATCACCACTACTCTGTCTTACTACTAACTACCGACTAGTCAATTGTTCCATTTATCTTTGGGGCGACGCGAGACACTTGTGTCTAAGTACGTATACATACCACTCTTTTCTTTTTTTCTTACCTCCTCCCCTCTGCTCTCGATCCTTCTCTTTCGCATTGACTTATTTGCTTTTTATTTTCTTACACTGTCTATTTTCGTTTTCATTTACATTTTTTTTCTGTTATTTTCCTTTTCCCCCCTCTGTCATATACCTCGGGTTCGTTTTTCAAATTCTTGTTATTTTTGGTATCGGTATGATTTGATTCCTGGCTGTCACCCCGGATGACTCCGTTGACTTGCGTGGCGAGGTCATCTCGGGTTTCCTGGAAATCACTTGTGGTATTTGATTACTACTAGGAGTGGGTTAGGACGGTACCTGCTGAATGACCACTCCTTCAGTGGTAGGGTACCTACACTGAGGTGCCCAGTACGATCCATTTACCTACTGGGTTGACTGTGGTGATACTACTAGTAGTTTGCCCAACTGCCGGCCAGCCAGGGTCGGTGTGTCCATCGCAGACATTGATTGATTACCTTTTAGTCGCGGCGCGGATCGCTTCTTGTCCTCCACCTCCACCCCCCCCCTCTCACTCTCACTCACTTCTCTCCCCTGTCAAGTTATACTTCCTGTCTGCTACTATGACTATCTTTTAGCCCTCGCACGCTATTGCATCTGCTTTTGTCTGATGATCATCCTTTGACTTATATTTTCTCATCCTATTATTGTTCTTATTACGAAACCGCGCCGTTGCCTTTCTCCAGTCATTTTTTACACCTTTCCCCACCCATCGCAGCTATTTTCAAGCTACTGCCATTCATGACTTTCTACTAGTACTACTTTTGTTATTAACCGCTGCCACTCCTGTTCCGCTCCGCTTTCCCTCCCACCCCCCTCCTCCCTCCCTCCCCTCGTTTGCTCTCCCCTCAACTGGTTATTGTTTGTCTTGGTTTTCGCTGATCGTTTGACCGTTGTCCTTCCCGACCGCCGCTACTTAATCCACGTTAAGCTAATTATATAAAAAAAAAGCTACCGGCTGCTTGCGTCAGGCTCCCTCGCTGATCGATTTTCTACCCCTCCTCGCGCGCCCATTGAATCTTGAATCGCGCCAGCCTTTCCATGCTTCGTCGGTTGCGCCCAGCACTGTAACCAGAATATTGCGGACTCTGAAACAAAGAACCACGGCTCGATAGCACCGACATTAGCTTTCGTACCATTCTGTCCATTCCCCGAATCGGAAACTTTCTGCGTTTGCACGTTCCACCTAATACTCTCCGGTCGCACAACTGAGTTTTCGATGCTTGTCTGGGACATCATGTCCTCCTGACTGTATGACTATCCCACTGAGTCGACTATCCACCGTGGATCCGCGGCAACCTGCAATTAGTGGCCATAACCGGGGCCTCTTGAACGCCGACGTCGTCCCGATCAACGACAAGCAGAAAGTCTTTCTTGCCGGTTCTGGCCCTCCGTCGCCAATGCATCGCGTACAACCTCTGGACGGATCGCATGGTCCGCCCAGTGCTCCAGCAGTCTACGAGCAGCCATGGCGCCCTCCGTACTCGTCTTCTTATGACGGACATCCTGCGGACCAGCGTCGCACATCGAATGCTCCTCAGCCTGCGCTCCCACCTCACGGATACCCGATCAACCCAAACCGGGAGCTGCCGCAGCTCCCACCAGACGGTCCATATGCCCGACAGGGCAGCTTGCCTGGTCCGGTGCATACCCCCCCGGAAGCCCCCACTCCTCATCCCAGCTTTCGTCCTATGAACGGAACCCCCCATGAGGCCGCACCCCATTCAGCACCCCCCGACTATCGCTCGCGGATGTCTTTTACACCTCAGGAGCCTCACAGCAATGGGGACGCTCCGCTCCCTGCCCACACATTACCCCCGACTCAGTATCCCACTCCGGTTCCGCATTTGTCGCATACTCCTACACCGTATGACTCAGGTCTTTACGGAAACCAGGCCTACGGGATTCGCCAGCAGCGAAAAGCTGCTCGGGCGCAACAGGTGAATTGTCTCCTTGCAGCGAAGTTAGCTGAGATATAATCGGGAAACCCTGGCTAACTCGTGAGATTTTGCTCCCTTTGAAGGCCTGCGATCAGTGCCGAACGAGAAAGGCCAAGTGCGATGAAGGCCGGCCTGCTTGTAGCCATTGCAAGGAGAACAACTTAATATGCGTTTATAAAGAAGTTCCCCCTCACAAGTCCGTGATCCGGCAACTGATACTGATGCCTCCTAATGATTCGATTGACATGTGCTGACGGCGTACGCAGGCAAGAAAAGGCGACACAGCTTCTTCTGGACCGTATCTCTCAATTGGAAGACGGTCTCAACGAAAAGATCGAACGCATCAATGCACTCCAGGTCGAGCACTCGAACCAACTCACTGCGCTGTATCCTCGGTTGAAAGAGGCTAAAGCGATAAGTACCAAGGAGACGACAGAGAAGCCGGCCATTCCTCGAATATCGAAGGCGGATATACCTGATATCTTACAAAAGACCGAAACCAAAGAAGAAGACATGAACGCGATTGTCGGACAGGAGCTTGAAAGAGCTGAAGGGGAAGTGATCCCGCAAGGCGAAGACGGCGATCTTTCAATTCCTGTTGAGCATACCACTGCAGCCCACAAGTTGCTTTCGTGGCCGTCTATCAAGGCTCTTCTCGAACCGAGAGAGTACGACGAAGATTATGTTATGAAGCTGGAAGAGGAGCGAGGATTGATCCTCGTTTACGGCCGCGGCGAGGGACACGATACTAGTGAAAGCCCGGCAATGACATTCTCATCATCATCATCGTCCCGGTCTAACTGGGATCAAAGTTACAGCAATGGTGCTCCTGCTAGCGGCCAATGGACTCCAGGCGCCATCCAAAATGGCAATCATCTCAAACCCCTCGGACCCAGTATTGATGATTTTGGAATATTCAGCACAGATGCCAAAACCGTTCGTCGTTATCACCAAAGCTACCTGAACCACATGCATAAGCTTCATCCATTCATCAACCTAACCGAATTGAGCGCAAGCATCGAATCATTCATTCAGAAATACTGCTTACCTGACGTTTCTGTTCCGGTTAACATTCTGAACAGCCATACCGCCGGTGACATCCCACGCGGTGCGAAGAGGAAGCGTTCTTGCGATACGCTACACGGTGCTGGATGCGACATCCAGTTTCCTCCTGGCGCCAAACACGAAAGCGCTAGCGGACGTCGTGTGGAGAAGTCACTGGAAAATGCTATTGTTCTCTTGGTTCTTGCACTTGGCAGTATTTGTGAAGTTCAGGGAGCCATCCCTGGTCCAGTTACTGACACGCCCGTGGACTTTCAGAAGGAGCGGATTCCTGGACCGTCTACACGCAGCATGCTATCATCAGCAGATACAGAATTGGTTATGCAGTCACAGGGAAGTTTCTTCTCGCAGACAAGTAACCATTCTTTTTCACCTGCTACCGGGGGGCAGAAGGCTGCCCCCGATCGGTCGCCATACCCCGATAATAGTCACTTACGGAACGTGGATGTCATTCCTGGCTTGGCATATTATGCGTATGCCGCACAGATCTTGGGGAGTTTGCAAGGCGCGAACGGGCTGTATCATGTTCAAGCAGCCTTATTAGCGGGTCTTTATGCAGGGCAGTTAGCTCATCCTTTCCAGAGCCATGGATGGATCTACCAGGCGGCCAGAGCATGCCAAGTGCTTGTCCGATCGTATGTTTTTTTTTTTTTTTCTCTTTGTCCTTTTCCTCCCTGAATTGCCAGAAGCTTGCAGGAAGGATCCCGTGCTAATCAGTCTCAGGAAACGGTATGAGCAAATGAATGACGGCCCGCTGAAAGACCTGTACAACTTTGCGTACTGGACCTGCCTGCAGCTCGAGAGGTAAGCACGTTGCTCTCGTTATGCGCTCCAGAAGTACTAATGAGTTGTTGGTATAGTGACATCCTTGCCGAACTAGATCTTCCGGCTAGTGGTATATCTCGCGCGGAAGCACGGATTGAGTTGCCAAAGGGCCGAACTCTTTCTCTACCTAACGACCCTGCTGCTCCGAACACCATGATGATGTTCTTCTACTCTGCCCAGATCCATTTGAGAAAGGTCTTGAACCGTGTTCACACCGATTTATACAAAGTCGAAAGTAAGTTGACTTGAGGCAAGCGGGAGCCCTTGGCTGTACTAACGCCTCTTTGCAGAACAGAATGAGAATAGGTGGTCTGCTAACGTACAGGAGATCCTGAGCATGAACCTTGAATTGTGGAGAAGCAGCTTACCCGACATAATGAGGTGGAAGGACGCGGACCCGCCACATGAGGACATAAATGTTGCTCGGATGCGAGCAAAATACTACGGCGCACGCTACATTATCCACCGTCCCCTCCTTTATTGGGCTCTGCATCATTCGCATCCTGCCGAAAATGGTCGATCAGCGTCAGTGGACTCTCCTACCGGATCAGCGATGTCGGGAGCGAAGTCGCAGCAGGTCTCGCCCTCAATGGCGCACAGCCAACGTGCTATCAATATGGCGCGATTGTCTAGTGATGTTGGTACCATGGGTCGATCGGCACCGACCCCAACCCCCGTTCCGACCGGATCGCGACCAGCACTTGCGTATCGCGATCTCAACCCGAAGCTACGAAGAGCGTGCAAAGTGTGCATAGATTCCGCCATATTGAGTACCGAGGCTTTCGATGGCATCAAAGGTCGGCCGGTAGTAACTAATATCTTCGGCACAGCGCATGCGTAAGTGGAATTCAACAAGAAATGTGAAGTCGGATAGTGGATGTCGCTGACCTTTCTGTTCTCTGCTAGTCAATTCGGTAACATGCTGGTATTGTCAGCCACGTATATGTCGAGTCTTTCAGAGTTGGTTGACCGAAATGACCTTGATCGGTTGCTTAAGCGAACAATACGCTTCCTCCTTCAAAGCCGCGAGATATCGCCAACCCTACGCGCCGATGCAAAGATCCTCAGCGAGATATATGAGAAGATCTTTGGAGAGCCAGCCGATATCGTGGCTCCATAATCATACTGACAATAGAGGCTGAGAATCCTGCGTTGCCTCAGGGCCATCGAGGCATAGAATTGGCCCCATACACCTGATTTTGCTTTTTTGTTATTCTTCACATGAACCTTGCGGGTCAATACAGTTAGCGGGAAAGGAATGTTCCTTGCATCTTTCTCCACAGGTAGACCACATTCTCCCGATTGGGATTGTGATACAGCATGTTATATACGGGGAGAGCTGCATGGTGGCTGGCTGGCTCGATTTCCCCCTCGTTGATAATTGGTGATTTCTCGCAGCGTCTGTGATATGCATCTATGTTCTTTGCCATGCATGTGAAAGGGAGAGGCGGCTATCTGAGATTAACATTACCGTCACAGTTCTGGCAATTTTCTGTCATTGTTATTTTTGAGGGTTGGATTGCTGTGGGATCAAATTTTGCTTTTTCTTTGGAGTTCCTAGTGGCGTCGACTTGCATCCTGCTGTTCGCAGACAGGAAACGGATTGGGAGGGATGTCTGATTGCATTTCAGCGGATCAAGGATTTACCCCGCGTACAGTACACTCGAGGATTCCAATTACGGCCGTACAGTGCATGACTATCTATTTGATTTTGGTGATAGAAGTTTTACCTCCTTTTATGTTTACTATTCTCCTCTTTCCCCCATGAAGGAGACGGGCCGATGGACGTTGAGGACGCGTTGGAGACAGGTGGTCTGAACTAGGCAGGATGATCAGCCATGCTAGATATTGCTGTGACCCATGTAGAGTTTAGTGGCAAAGGTTCATTGCACCAGAACAAACGGACATGGCTTGTTGTCGCCGCCATGAGTGGTGCTCGGCCAGAGCATCCAAATGCGCTGGCATCCCGATTGGGAAATGTTTGATTCGCCCAGATCATCTCTCGGCTGCTAACGTGAATAGCTCATATGCACCATCCTGGGCTCCTTTTCTGTCTCTGGCATGGCATGCAGCTAATCAATTTGCCCTGCCAGTTGTCATGGTCCCAGCTAATGATGCATGTCACTCACTCATTGGAAGGGAGTGGGTGAGCGGCCCATCCTCGGGCTTTCATTTAAGATGCGTGACAACCCCAAGCATGCAGTTTTTGAAAATAAGTCTAAGTAGCTACTCTGCTATCTTTTTTCTTTGCCAGTGAATGCTGAAATGGAGTTGTTTGAGGTGTCTCAGGGTCTGTTGTTGAGGTGGTCGAGTTACAGCTTACTTGGTAGAACTGATACACCGGGCTGATGAGCTAGCTAGCTATCTACTGTGTCTGGTGATCACTAGGCGCGCCCATCTTCGAGCGTAAGTTGGATGTAGAGGTGTGGGAAAATGCAAATAAGTGGAAGCATATACATGTCTTCTTTATGAGTATTTTCTTATTTCATGAGACGTGGATATTATGCGCCTAGTAGTGTTGTTGTTGTTATTGTTCATTGTTTTAGTCGAAGGAACCTGCACGGCCGTGGCTAGACAGGTATGTCGTGCATGCAGATGTTGGACGTATGTAGTAAGTAGAGTTCCTGCTGCCAGATAAACTAATCTGTATCAATCGGGATTACGATTAGGAGGTTAAATTTGCTTGTTCGGTGAGCATATTCTATTAACGCTGAGAGTATGAAGTGAACTGGTTGTATGCATGAGGGATGTATGTCCCTTCAAGTGTTAGGAGGGTACTCAAGTAGATGTGAGTGCGTAATGGAAGTCAGCTCAGCTCAGGGAATGGGACGATATGACGTATCAGCTTTGAAGGAGCTTAAGTGGCAGCCACTGAAGTGGTTGCCAATCGGGCGATTAGGGGGAGAGGAAAGTTGGGACTAGTAAGGAGGAGGATCCCAGCAGGAAAAGTGTAAGAGAGTCAGTCAATCCATGAAGGGTAGAATGAATGAAGGAATGAATCGTGGTCCAGCCAGCCTCTTCGATGGGGCGCCCCCCAGCACGTGCCCGGGACTCCCCGGCCACCCTCCCCAGCCTCACCGCGACTTTTCTTCAATTTCCCTTCCGATTCCCTCGCATTTCCGCTGATTTCCTCGCAGGAGATGGAAGATTGAGAGAAAAGCGGCTTGAGTGTGCCATGACTTCCGACTACTAAGTAACTTCTTGTACTGTAAGTACACTCTCACATTTACATTCTCCATCTTCCCTTTAGAGATCCGATGAATGCTTCCATCAAACTATCCGCCCGCATCTGATCGATCGAAAAACATACCCCACATTCCTGGTTGTTTAGCACGTCACAGATTCGCAAGTCTAAAGAAGATTTTCTCATCATCATCATCATCATCATCTCATCTCATCTCATGCAATTTTATATCATCCTTTTATCGGGTTATTTTCCATGGTCTCATACTTGATTAAATTATTAAGACATCCCGAAACACACGGACTCTCTCTCTCGTTGCCCCATCTTGGTCCATCACGCTAAAGCTGTTAGTGGCTGATTGTCTGGAGCAACCGAGCGCTTGCCAGCCCGCCTCTTTTCTTCCGCTGCTGCTGCTTTTGCGCTGAAGGCTGACCGTGGTTCTCTACCTTTTGGTCTCCGCTCCAGCTTGGGGGACCCTCCGACTTCCCGAGAAAAAAAGAACCACGGTTCACTTGTTTACTTTCCTCCGCCCGTCGCAAAAACAACGCCGCCGATCTATACCCGCCCGCCTCTTTCTTTCTCATCTTCAATCCCCCATCACCAACCTAACTTTCCCTTCCATCCCCCAACCTTCGCCTCGCTAATACGGTCTCTCCTTTCTCATCTAACGACCCTGTTACGATTGTTACGAATTCTTTTTTTTTATTCTTCAATTCTTTTACCCTCCTTTCCCTTTCAATCAATTCCTGCTTGGTTCGATTACTCAATTAGGCGACCGCGTCTACCCTCTATTCCACATGGTTGCCTGAGTCGCTAGAGCTTTGATCGCTCTCTGCCCACCATGTTCAAAGCCCTTTTGGGCGGGGGTCGCTCGTCTTCTGATGTCCGCAGCTCCTCAAGCTCCAAGAGCAGCAGCCTTCGCAGAACCGACTCGAAATCTTCCACAGTAAGCCGCAAGTCCTCACGGGGTGACGACCGTGATCGTGGCTTGGGTGATCTGTCCAACTACCGATCCTCCAGCAGTCGGAGTAAGCGCTATGCTCCAAGTGTGGCAGGCGAGTCGGTAGCCTCGAGCTATGCGACAGCAGACCAGGGCACCCCCATCGAACCCGACCGGGTGATGATCGAACGCGCGCCCCGGCGTCAAGATTCAAACGACACCACCGACCGTCGAGATCGATACCGAGACAACGGAGATGGAGAAGGGAAAAGCTCCCGCAGGCGTGAGCGAGCGCGATCGCCGAGTCGCGAGCGTGAGCGTGATGGCGATCGGCGTGAACGACAACGAACTCAGTCAGGCGATATGTATGCATCCCCAGTAACTACAGGCATGCCTCCTTCTCCTGGAGACTTCGCCACCGCGAGTCCTCATATGTACCCTCCAGTTACTGAGGCAGTGCCAACCACTTCAATGCCCAGCCCGCCGCATGCAACCGCATTCTACGATCCTCATGTAACACAGCAGTTTCCTGGCCAGTTCCCGGCATACGTTGCTGAACCTTACCAACCGCCAAACCCTGCAGGAGAAGCAGCCGATTACTACGGCGATCAGGGGCAGTCCGTCCAAGACCAGCCTGGCGTCCGACCTAAACCTCCGTTGGTAGCCCCCAGCGACCAAGCGCATCTGATGACAGCATCGCCCACCGCAAACCCGCCGCCAGAGCCAAGTAGCATGGGCCAGGTCGGCGCTGCAGCGGCCTACTTTATGGATGACGCTGAGTTGGGAATGGAACAGCCCGTTGAACCACCATCTGCTCCTGCGCCGAAACCACCGAAGCCGTCAAGACCACCAAGACCCTCTGTACAGACGGCGGGAATCTCAAGCCCACCTGCCGTCGCTACTGCAACGACAATGTCAGGAGCTGAGGTTATGGATTCCCCAGGGCACACTATCTCGGAATCCCCTGGAACCTATGTGCCGCCCACGGCATCGAGCCCTCCGAAGCCTCCTCATTCTCATGGAGCGGGTGCTGCAGTTGGCGCAGCCGCCGCCGGTGCAGCGGCCGGTTATATGATGAGCCACCATCATCAGTCCGCAAGCGTTGACCATTCTTCTCAGTACACCATGCAAAACTACGAAGAGGTACTCCCGGCCTACCCGGAGACTCCGGCGTTTCCCCCTCAGCAGAACATGCCGCCTTTTGCTGCAGGACCTGCGGCAGCGGCGGCGGCGGCCGGGTACGCGGCGAGTCCGCTACATCCCGATCATGCTGCAGTATACCACGGTGCTCCTTTCCAATCCGGAGGTTTGGCTTTTCAACAACGTCAACAAGGTCCCTTGGACAAATTCATCAACTTTTGGAAGGACCCAGAAGGTGTCGGCATGTTCGAGGATTATACGGAATCTATCGGGGTCTGCAAATACTGCTTTGAGCCAGGCACAACATCCCAAGACGCACCTCGCAAGCACAACCACAAACCTCGCCGTCGCTCTGCTGACAGGTACAGTAATGGATCACGTGTTGATAAAGCAAGCCGCTACTCCTCGTCAGAGGACGAAGGAAGGCGTCGCAACAGGTCGTCGAGGAACTCGTGGTTGCCCGGGCTACTTGGTGGATATGCGGTCAAATCTATCTTCAGTAGTAAGGAGTTCGACGAGTCTTACAGCATTCGAACGGGTGAGGTGGCGAGCTCTCGGCATTCAATCCACGAAAGTGAAGGCGCCTCCACAGCCGGTCGACGAAGCCAGACCTCACGCGGAGTCTACAGACGGTCCCTTCGAAGCCGATCGCGGGAACATACCGACCACAGCTCCTATCATTCGGACTCGAAACTCAGCAGATATGAAGGATCTCGACTTCGTTCTCGGTCTCGCTCCCGCTCTTCATCTAGAAGTCAGCGACATGCTGCCCTGAGGAATGCGGCTCTGGGCGTGGCAGTTGGAACAGCGGCTGTGTCAGAATACGAATCCCGTCACAGAAGCAGGAGCCGCAGTACATCTTCGAGGGGAAGGAAACCTAGAAAGACATCTTCTTCTGATGAATCTTTTGTGGATATTTCAAGACCCGCTCGCAAGACTGTCGGTAGTGGCTTCAGTTCGTTTTTCACTGCATCGTCAGAGAACCGCCGCAAGCGTCGGACAAAGAGGCGCAAGAGCATCTTCTCTTTCAGCAATAACAATTCTTCGTCATCATCACTCGATGCAGATCTGGCCTTTGGGTCTGGATACACGAAGCGCCAGTCAGGCAAGCCTAACAGGCGAAGCAAGAAGAAAGCGGATACAGATGTGGATGCTGCCTTACTGGGTCTAGGCGCAGCCGCCACTGCACTGGCCGCCTCATCCCATCGCAAGAATCGGCGCACTGGGGAGATACTTGTCGGCAAAGAGTCCCGATCCGGTCGGTCTGATTACGAGTCGTCTGCTGCTAACGATGAGGGCTGGGAAGATCTTGACTCGGGTGACCAGTCCTCCTCAAGTGTTACTTCCGGCCTCGCGTTCGGCGAAAGTGGTCATTTCCCCAGCACTGACTCTCACTCTTCTGATTCCGGAACATCGAGATGGCCTTGGAATTGGGGAAGCAAGAAGTCCAAGAAGAAGCAGAAGAAGAGAAGGTCTCGCTCCTCGGAGAACCGCTTCCCCACAGAGGCTGCGGTCGCAGCTGGTCTCGGAACGGCCGCATTAGCATCTGCATACCACCGGGACTCCAAGGTATCCAGTCACGATGCTGCAAGTAGTACTGGAAGTCTTCAACACGTGGTTCCTGTCCCCACCAGTGACCCTTCACATTTCGACACCATCAAGGCCTCATCTCAACCTCCTTCCCAGCCGACATTGGTCAGGCCAGGACCTATTCCCCTGCAGCAGCCACAGCCAGTGACTCCGGTTTCGCAGGCAGTATACACTTCTCAAGGCGAATCCATCCCCTCCTATAGCGTACCTGATGTACACCCAACTCCTGCAAGCGCTTTCATGCCTTACGAAACCCCATCAAGAAGCGACAGATGGAACCAGAGGACCGCAGACTATACCGAGCGAAGTGATATCGCGAGATTCAATCGGGCCCACCGGCGTAGTGATTCCTCCCCGGTCTTCCACGCAGAGCCCCTCGAGAAAATGTCGTCGTCGAGCTTTAGACGTCGCTCGACGCTGAAAGACCAGGCCACAGTCCAATTTGACTTAACCGAAGAACAGGCTAACAAGGAGCGGCGTACCAATCGCCTGGAAAGTCTGCGACGGGAGGGGGATGCCGGCGGAGGAGTGCAACTTGTCGACAGAGAGCAAGAGATGGCGCTTCGGGATGCTGAACGTCAGGCAAGCCAACAGAGAGAACGTGAATATGAAACGTCAAGAATCGAGGAAGAAAACTCACGCAGAGAGAGAGAATCCTCGTCCTTGATGGGTGCCGCTGCTGTAGGAGCGATAGGTGGTTTTGCTGCTTCCACGATGATTCCTAGAAGCAGTTCGAACGATGATTTCTCTGAGACCGCCAGCCAACGTCGGCACGAGGAGCGTCGTGAAAAGCGCCGAGCAGAGAGGCGCCGCGTTTCCGAATCAGAGTCTATCGCATCAAGTCTACCAATGTCGGAGAGTGGACGAACCATGGCAGAGGAGCGCTCTCAGATAGACCGCCTGCCGGAGGATGTGAGGCCTCGGCATTCTCGCCCACCTCGCACAAAGCCCGTCTACGAGGACTATGCCCAATTCTTTGCTCCTGAGGAGCTACGCTACAGCCCTGATACCTACACACGCCGGGAGCCCACTTCGATGCCAACTATTATCGAAGTAGAGCCTACGAACGAATCTGCTATTGTAACGGAGGAACCGCACCCTGACTACAATGGTTTGCCGTGGCCTGTGCCGGGTCTGACGCTTACTGAGCCAACCCCTCCCCATAGCCAGGTGGGCTCCGCCAGGGCGACACCAATTGTATTGGTCCCTGAACGGCACGAAGAAGAGAACAGGTTTGAACGACAAACAACCGGCTCACGGGTATCATGGGGCAAGCATGAGACGCATGAGTACGAAGTGCCCTCAACATCCTCCGAGCATGAATCTGTCGACCAAGATACTAGAGTTCTTGAGCACATTGAGGAGGTTGAGCCTATTACCGCAGACACTGCACGGGACATGCCGCCAAGCTCCTCTTCCCAATCTACAACTAAGGAGGCCCCAACCATGGTAGGAGCAGATATCGAGTTTGCAGCTGCACTTGCTGCTGCAACTGCAGCTGCTGGCTTTGACCCTTCGCTTGTAACGGATGATCCCACATTCCATACTAGGCGCTCTCCTCCTACCTCGGAGCCGAAGGTGCAGTTTGTGTCACCCTGGGAAGAAGCGTCCGTGTCACGTTCCGTGCCCCATGGATTTGTGGAAGGCGAAGTCGAGACGCCGGACGATGACGAGAACATCCAAATGGCACCGGAGTACCGCATCGAGGATGGGCCCCTCTTTTCGGAGCCTAAATCTCGTACTGGTGAAGAGCTCGCAAACGAGCCCCGGCAATCCATTGCCCAAGAAGTTATCGAGCACCTCAGTCGCAGAAAAGAGCACAATGCCAGCGATAGCCCTGCCATTCAGCCAAGCCGGGAGCCCGCCAATAAGAGCGTTTCTGAAATTCCCAAGGAGGTCCTTTCCATGCCCGGTGGCTTCGAGCCTGAAGAGTCACTAGAAAGGCAGGAAAAACCGAGCGATCCAACCTCCACGCAAGAGCGCGACTCTCCTTACTTCGTGTCAGCGCCTGGAACCAAAGAGGATGGCCCATCGACATTGCGAGACACTGCAGAGCAGAGCAGCGGTGACATCGAGCCAATCGACGATGACATCGATCCATCCACAGTCGGGGCTGATGAGGGCGAAGGGAAGAAGAAGAGACGGAAGAGGCGTTCCAAGCGCAGTAGTAGTGATAACTTTGAAGACGCGGTTTCCATCACCTCTTCGCCCGCCAGGCTGGAAGAAAAGACGAAGGACACCAAACCCGGCAGTTTCTTGAGCAATCTTTTTGGGTCAAGAGTTTCAGTACCGGTAGAAGACAAGGGAAAATCCTCTGCTGATAAACTTTTCTCTCGTGAAGTCCAATCGGAGATCGGGTCTGGACGTAGAGAGAGATCTTCACGGCGTCGCAGCTCCAGTCGAGGAGACGGGCTGGATGACGAGTCCCGCAAGCAGCATGACGAGGAGAATATTAACGTTGAACATTATAAGTCTAGCAGGCAACGAAGGGAAGAGAGACGTCGACAAAGATACGAAGACATGATGGAATCTGGTAAATCGTCGGAGTTTGAGAAGGTATAGTGCTTGGTTGTCTTTCCGATTTACCTGTAAATTTTGGCTTTGCCTTGATTATTCCCATATCCGTTTGACAGTTTTTGTACAGCGCATATACTAAGATCATCTTTCTTCTTCTTCCATGTATAGGATCGGAAACAATCCCAGGACGACGAACAACAGTCTTTTTTAGAGGAGGGCCCCGAAATGCCAGTCAAGGTAGACGAGGGTGATGGTCATCGTGGTGCTTCGGGGCGGCTGGATCCTGAGATCACAGGGCTGGGACTTGATGTCCTCGATTCCCGGCTACGGAGTCGCTCTGCATCGCCGCCTGCGTCGGAGAAGACTGCCAACCCCGCGTCCATGTCGCAAAGTAGACCAACCTCGCCTGAACTAGCCCGGTCTCAGGAAGAGAACCAAGGTCAAAGATCTCGGCGGTCGTCTGTGTTGCGGTCAACCGAATCCCCTACTGCAGTACCAATACACTTCCGTCGGCCACCAACTTCACCTCGAGCCAACCGCTCTCCTTCCGTTTCTTCGGTCGTCGTTCCTTCCCCTGGTTCTCCAACACAGGGTCGCCGCCGGCCGGCCTCCACCGAGTTCAAGAATTCTCGTGAAATCCGGCCCTTGTGGCTCGTTGAGCGCTTTGGTGCTAGCAAGTCTGAGGCTCATCCTGATGAGCCCCTCCCCTCTTTGCCTTCAAGCAAGGCTTCTTCAGCAAACGCGTCTGTGGAAGACCTTGCAGCTCTACCAGATATGAAGAAGTGGGAAATGGTTGATCTCAGCGAACACGTTCAGGGACCGCCACGGGCTATGGCTATAGAGACTTCTGCTGCGCAGAACCAATCAAGCGATGAGGGATCGTACGATTTCCTCGATTCTCAACAAGGCACTCCAACCGCCGCTTCGTTCGGGCAAATTCCTCACCACCCTCCTTCCAGGAAGGAGAAGCTGAAATACGAGTTCCATTCGCCCTCTGAGCTTTTGCAAGACGTCAACGTGCACCAGGAATTGCCACCATCACCAGAGATTGGACCCCTTCCCTCAGCTGAAGGTTCTGCAGTTGGTGTGAAAGAAGAGACTGGAAATGAACGCCTGGAGACCCTCCCGTCGCTTCCTGAAGTACGCCCATCTACGCCTGAAAACAAAGTACCTCATGGCGAAGATGTGGCCGAAACTACACCAACACAGCCCAGGAATGATTTCGCAAAGCTTGAACCCAGTGCTGATGTAGAAACTGGAGGTGATATAAAGCTCGACTGTCAGCGCTCTGAAGAGCAGATCAGCCTAGAGAACGCACAGACAACTGAGGAGGGCGAGCATACTGCCAAAGCTGCTTCAAGTGAGGACCTTCCGGTCCAGATCCCTACCTCAGATTCTCTGGCGTTAGATAAAGATCGATCGATTGAGCCGGTTCAAGAGAGCGCACCTTTGGGTGTTGCGGCTATGGTCGGCACGGCCATGGCAGCCGCTGCTGGTTCTGTACTGGGTAAGCCAGACCAAACCGAAAAACCACAAGCTCGGGAAATCGATCAGGCCAAGGACGAGATGGATGTGCATAAGAAACCAGATGACTTTCAGGTCGATGTCACCTCAACTGGAATAGAGTCTACGCCAGTTGTTACTGGCACAGATTCTCAAGACCTGTCTGAGGATGCCGCATCTGCCCCGACCATGGATGAAACCGTTCGAGGAAAGGCGGATGCTGATACAACTTCCACCGCAGAGCATGCTGGAGCGGAGACCGACGAGCACAAGCCGGAACAAGTCAGTGCTGAGGTTATGGCAGATGCTAGCAAGGCCTTGGATGATAATGTTGAAGTTCCTGCAGAGCCTCACGTAGAGAGTGAGAGACCAGAGCAATCAGCGCCACGTGAGGAAGCTGATGCAGAGAATCCAGAGCTCGTGACGGCAGACGAGATCAGGGGTGCTGACCCAGAGATCGCCATCCAGTCCGAAGAACCCCATGTGGATGTATTGGCACCGGGAGAAGACTCATCAGAGGCTAAACAGGAGCCGGTGGAGGCTGCTGCGGGTGATATTACTGTAGAAAACCCGGGACCGACTCCAGCTGACACAGAAAACCATGCCGGTGAACCCACACAGGAACAGCCCGAAGAACTAGGCGTCAGTGGGCCTGGAGTGACAGTTGTCGAGGATACCCCCGTCGAGGTGAAAGAGCCGGAGGGAGAAAAGGCCCTTGTGGAGGCAGATATTGCCCAAGAAGTGCCAGTAAGCGACTCTGCTGGACCTACTGAGAGTAATGAAGAGCCACTCCTGTCCGAGAAGGCCCCTGAAACCGCGCATCAGGAGCCGGAGCCTATCAAGACCGATGATGCTCTTCTCAGTTCGGAGCCCGCAGCCGAAGCCATGGGTGACGCTACGACTGAGCCCCTCGATCCCCAAGCCGAAGAGCCTGTTGCAGATGTATCAACGTCTTCGACTTCGAAGAAGAAGAAAAATAAGAAGAAGAAGAAGGGCAAGAGCATCGACCTAGGCACTCCTGAGCCTACACAGGCTTCGGATGAGCCAACTACATCCCAGGAGGAGCAGATTGCACTGAGCGCTACTGAGCTCGCGGTATCTGAACAGGCGCTAGAGTCTGAAATCCAGGAGCCGGGGCCGACTGTGCCCGCTGCTGCTCCTGAGGAGATAGTCACCGAGACGGGGCCTGTACCTACAACAGCTGAGGCCGACACAGAGCCCAGTTCCCAAGAGACAGCAGCCGCTGAACAGCCTACTGTGGCCGCAGAATCGACCGGGGAAACTGCACTTGAGCTCGAAAATGAGGGAAAGCTAGCGGGGACAGAGATACAAGAGCCAGTTCTAGCTGAGCAATCTGCCTTAACCGAGGCGCCTTCCGCGAAATCCGAGAAGCAAATCGAGCCCACATCTCAAGAAGTGCCCAATTCCGGCGACGCCTCAACAACAGAAGAGGCTTCTGCAGAGGCCAATAAGCCAACCGAACAGGACGCCCAGGAACCACAACTGGCGGATCAAGTCATACCTGAGGATTCACTAGCCAAATCGGGAGGACTGGACGATGCAAATCCAGACATTCCAGCCGCCGAACAGCCTGCAGAGACTGAACAGCCTGCAGCGACTATGTCTCAAGATACGCCTGCCGTGGAAGAGCCAAGCACTCTACGAGAAGAGTTTGTGGTAGAGGAGCCTAAGGCAGAAGAGACCCCGGCAGTCCCCGAACCTCAGCCAGAGGCTCAAGCAGTACCTGTTGCTGACGCCGCAGAGTCTATGGATGCACCGGCCTCTTCTAAGAAAGCCAAGAAAAAGAAGAAGAAGAAGAGTAAAGGTGCATCCCAAGACTTGACTGCAGAAGAGGCTGTAAACGCCGAGGACACTAGGCCTGCCGAAGAGTCTACGGCTGTGGAAGACAAGACCGAGACTACTAAATCATCTGAAGATCTAGAGGAGGCTCAGCTAGCTGAGGACACTATTGTTGAACAGACGGCAGGTTCAAACGAACAACCGAAGGAGATCGAGACTGAGACACCCCTCGAGGGCGACGCTACGGACAACAAGGCCGAGCCAAGTGACGAGGCTGTGACAACACAGGTTGCTACGGGTGTAGAGGATAATAGTAAGCCCTCCGAGGAGGGTGTCAATCTCGCGAACGAGGAGACCAGTCAGGCTTCTGCAGCCGGACCAGACGTGCCTACTGCGGCTGATGCGCCTGAAGCTTCACCGGCCGACCATACTCCCGTTCATGCTACAGAATATACGGAGGATGCCAACAACTCCCAGTTGCATCAGGAACTTGCAGCACCTACTGAGCCTGAATTTACCCAAACGGCGAGCCCTGATAGCTCCGCAGATGTTGTGGAGCCGAATGAGAATGAGGCGCCGGTCTTGGAACATCAGCCTGAAGAATTACCTAGTGCTGAGGCTAAAATGACAGTAGCGGAGCCAGTTGAGTTCGAAAAAGCAACAGAGCAGCTGCAGCAAAGCGAAGCCCAAGAAGCTGATATCCAGACGCATGAGAAAGAACAGCTGTCCGAGGCTAAAGAAGATAACGAGGTCCCAGCGACCGAAGCCGAGCTGCAGAAGGATTTAACGGAAACCACGGACTTACCTGCTGCCGATGAAGCGAAGACGATTCCTGACCCAGCTATAGCTCAAGATAACTTTCAGGAAGCCACAGAGGAACCGGAAGCTTCTCTATCCCGCAAAAGTAGCAAAAAGAAGAAGAAGAACAAGCGCAAAAGCGCCGCCGCGACCTCGCTAGAATCAGAGCCAACTGAGGATTCTCAGCCAACATCTTCGGCCGAAGTTGCTCCTGAAGCTCAAGCTGCCACGGAACCTGAGCTTGCTCCTGAGAATGTAGCGGTTGTTGACACTGAAGCTGCCCCCGAGACTGAACCTGCTCCAGAACCTGAGGTTGCAGCTAATGCTGAAGCTACCCCCGAAGTGGAAGCTGCACTCGGAACCGAGGCAACGCCAGAACCAGAAGTTGCTCCTGAGCCCGTAGCTGCTGTCGAGAGCGAACCTGCCCTGGAGCTCGGAGCTGCAGCCGAACCCGAAGCTGCTTCGGGGACTGAAGTTGATCCTGCGACTGAAGCTGCGACTGAAGTTGAAGTCGCGACCGCGAGTGAAACTGTGCCTGAATCAACTGTGACTGGCGAAGAATCCTCCGAATCGAAGGTGCCAGATGAGGCTCGCGACGAAAACAAAGAACTGTCGAGCCCTGTTGCGGAAACGGAGAGGAGCGATGAATTGAAGCTTTCTGAGGGAGAAAAGCCCGAGACAGGTGACTCGGCTGGGGACACTCAAGAGGTTCAAGCAGAAGATACAGTAGAGGATCAGCCGAAAAAGAAAAACAAGAAAAAGAAGAAGAATCGCAAATCTTCCGCCCTGGACGAAACCGAGCCTGAGCCTGAGCCTGAACCCGAATCTGAGGCTAAACAGCCCGAGCCCAGTCAAGAAGACTCCGCCGAGCCCCCGCTCCTCCAAACAAGCGGTGAGCTGCCATCCGCCGCCCAGCAAAATAATGAGGCTTCGGAGAATGCTAT